GCAATTTTTTCACCTTGTTCCTTTTTTAAAATACTTCTAATGGTGCTGTAATTCTTGGGTTCCATAGTAGACCTAATTTCATATTACTATTTTTATATAGGGGGATAGTTCTATATATTACTTAAGATAACAAATGGAATATTAATTATGATCACATTACAAATGACTAAATTTTGATCCCTGAAATTCTTGGTTATACCAACGTTCACTTTGTCTGGTTTTGTTGCAGCATGCCCCAAATAATGTTTTCCTCTTTTGAGGCCTATCAACAATATAAAATTTTTTTTATATATAAAATTTATTTCTTCAGATCAAAAAAAAACAATTCTTCTTACCTTCAACTCTTCTTTAAGTTTGATAATTTGATTTTGATAATGATCATTATCTTTCTCTTGTTCTATTTTATTTTTTATGGGTTTTGTATGGAGATTATTAGTTCTTGGTACATAGTCAAGTGTTAATTTTTTTTCTTCAATGTTTAACCCTACAGATGAGATTGTTGCAAGCATGCAACTTAGAGTTGCACCTCCAAGTGAGTCTTGTAGTAATCTAGTTAATTGCTCTCTCTTAATAATAAAAGTAGTAATGATGATAAATGAAAATCATTATTCCAATTTAACAATATTTAATTGATTAATATATTATATATGGAACCACCCCACTTCACTGACAACATGCAGTGTGATATTATTAGTTGTTTGATTGTGTGGAGGTTAAAGTAACCCCGTGTGTTGTCAGTGAAGTGACCCAGACCCATTATATATATATATACCATACATATAAGGAATGTGAGTTGAACTACCATGAGACTATTAATGCATTGACCAAGTGTTAATAAGCTTTGGTCAACTTTTCCAGCTTCTCTTGCGTGTGTGTTTTCAACACCTGTATGAGCAATATATTCTGATCCTCCTAAATTGACAAAATTAAATTTCCTAATTTTTGACAAATCTTCCCCATAAGACACCATTCTTTAATATGGATTGTTACTGTGAACGCTGAGTGTGAATGACTATTAATAATAATAACATGTACACATATATTCAATTATTTTAAATTAATGAATATACTAATGTTTTATATAATTACTAAACAATTAATTATTCACTTGATACCTTGATTTATTATTATAGTTGATTGAAGCAGTTTGTCTATTGATGATCCTTGTTTCAAAACTCTGATGCCTTCAGCAGCATTGTTTAAAGATATCTCTTCATGCCCGTGTAAAACAGCTATATTATTAACATCATCTTGAAGTTTCAAATCACTCTTATTAAACAATAGATCTTTCAATATACAATTCAACATATGAGACCTTCACTGAATAATCAGCAGATTCAGCAGATTCTGGATTTAAAGCTTCAAAAATATATTGAAGGGAACGTGGGATGGCACCAACATTTGGACTAATAATTGTATTGCTGCCACTATTCAAATTTCCTTCCATTGTATATGCTTTACCAGTTGATGTTTTAACCATGTACAATTGAACCCGTCCAATACCTTACCTAACATTGGGTCAACCACTGAGTCAAATATATCTTGTTGGTTTGCCTTATTCCCAAATATATTGTCAAAAGTATAGGTTTTGCGTGGTGCATCCTCGAAATCTATCCATACTTCACGATTCGTGGTCTTTATGACGATTGGTGATTTGGATTCTCTTTTCAAGATTTTGAAAAAAAATTTTTTCGAAAAAGAAAAAACAACAAAGTATTAATTAGCAATAATCAATAATGTTTAAAAAAATTAGTCATTGATATTTTTTATCCTTTGTAAAACTCACCGGCATCTTGAATTTTTTCTTTATTCTATTTTTTTACAAAAAAAAATAGAATGATTTTTTTAAAACTAGAGTGACGACAACCACCATTCTTATGATAAACACTTACCCGGAAAAACAATTTATTTTTCAATGATGGCAAAACGTGAGTCTCCTAAAGAAGACGTGTTAATAGCTATTTTTTTTTAATTTTACATTGTTTTTTGGTTATTATAAATATTTTAAACGTGGGCAGATCATTGCTGGGTAATTATAAGATTCTTATCAAGATTGTGTGTATTTTGCTTTTCGTAATCATTATCAATATTAATATTAAATAATAATAAATAATTAAAGAATGTCAAGGCAGCATTGACTATTGAAAAAGAGACATTTCGATGTGTGATGTTTGATTATCGGAAATTTGCAGAAGTTGAAGCACCATGCTACATTGAACACATTTACAGTCCTTCACACATTCCTCGTGTACATGATGCTAATCTTGACCTGGCGACCCAAAGATATGATGATGCAATTGAGAGTTTACCGAGATTGCATCAATTGTCAAGGACATTTTCATTAATCTTCCCAGACCAGAGAAGGCTTGCTGGCACGCTAGCCGAAAGTTGCCTGCAACGACCCTACCTCTAGATAAGGATGGCTTGCGCAACTCTGGAGGAATATTAAGAGAATCTGCAGCTCGTTCAAGCACACAGGAGGTCACAATTCAGAACAGGGTTGGTGACCCTGAAATTGCATTAGGTTCTGATGTTAAGAGAAAAGTTGTAAAATAGTGTTTGTTTTGTATAATCATTTTCATAAATTCAGTTTTTTTGATACTAACCAATTTATAATTTTGGATAGGGGACTGGATGGGTTTTTGCCTAATCAGTTCCCCTGTCCTATAGATTAAAATTATCACATGGTTATATATCTTTGTCGGCAATATGGACAACAAGAAAAAGACACAAAATGGTTTGGATTTTGGTATGTTGTGTTATAAATTAATCATTCCCATAAATTTTCTGTTTCTTTTGATTTTTATTTGATCAACTGAACTTATTATTTTTTAAATGGGGGCTTTTGCCCATGTAATCCACCCTAGGATAGCTCAATGTCGATTCTGCCTACTCCCACTGTGATCACTGGCATCAAGGAGAAAGCTATAAATAAAATGGTTCAGATTTGTTTGGTATGTTATAAATTAATCGTTTTCATAAATTCTCTGTTTTTCTTAATCTTTATTTGCTATTTAAATGGAGGTAGGGTTGTTGGTGAATAGGCATGTCACTGACAAGACAGCAACCCAGGACTCAAAACTCTGCGTTCAGGGAAAATCCAAGACAGCAACCCAGGTTGCAACCTCTCGAGTTGGAGAATTTTGAACCAGTTGCAGACACTGACTTTATTCTAGTGAGAGAGGTATAATACAAAGCAATCATCACACAAATGCTGATCCTCATCAGCAATCATGCCCATTTGATAACAGTCAAGCCTGTTCTGAGAGGGAGACGAGGGAAAATTTTGTCCAAGGCCTTCCAACATGTGGGGGAGCTTCAACTGTGGAGAAAATTTCATGGTACTGAAGCATATGAAAGCACTTGACTGCATGTTTGTGACAGGAAAATTTTAACTAAATCTGACACCTATGATCAACATTAGGTTTATTATTCATAAGGAACCATAATTGATAATCAGGAAAAATAATTTTGTCCTTGTGAACTCAAGGGATCTGGGTAGGCAGGCATTATTAAAAGTTCATTTATGCATGGCCTTGGGAAACAAATAAAAAGGGGTCAAAATTAATTTTAAATCAATTAGAAATTCTACACATTGTTGGACGACGAATTATCCTAAAGGGTAGATAAGATAAAAATAAACATGGACATATACGTTTTAAAAGAACACACATTAGCAATAGCAGCAATAGTTGATCTAAGAAGGCAATAAATACATTATGAGAAATCATAAATAATAACTAGAAAAGCTCTTAAAATAGTTATCTTTTAACAATACTCACCCAACGATTTCGAAATTTCGGCTTCTGCTTTTGGAATCTTTTTTCAAAATTTATCCTCAAATAGTCAAGATTAATTATTTTGTTTTTATTCGAGGATTGTCCAAGGGCATTAATGCCAAAGCTTTACTCGGTGTTATCAACTCCTTTGATAGTTTTTGTTTGTCTGCATAACTTAATACCCGTATTGCTTTGAAAAAGATATATTGAAATCCAACAGTTAATGTTAATTTCATAAACTATGTGAAAGCAAAACTATCTCAAACAACAAAATTTCATGAGTCTGCTGTCAGCAAGGAAACAATCAAAACTCACAGCAGGATTGATAGGGTTAAAAGTTGGAGAATTGTGAGAATTGTTGATCCATTTATTATTAATTTATTTTTATTATTATTTCTCAAAATATAAATAAAGAAAAAAAGGAAATAACCGACCGACATAAAACTAATTAATTGTAATGGGCGTGAAATCTAAACTTGAGATTGCTTGTGAAAAGTTAGAGTCACTTACAGGAACCAAGATCTTGGTTTATTTGAAAAACGGCTTATCTCAAAACCCTGCTCTTTTTGGTTTTGGTGATGCTTAAAGTTGACAATAAATTTGATCAAAAGAATTTTTCCGTTTATTTGTTGATGTTATAAATGAGTACAATTCATTCCAAGTTTATCCTCGGCGTTTCAAAGGCTGGATTTTGAGCCATATGATAAACTGAAAAGCAAAAATGCAATGTGAAGATCCTTAGAAAATGTGATATTTATACATGGTCGAAATTCAATCAATGCGTCATAATTAATTTTTCTGAGTGACATCGTGACTATGCATGCTCGAAAACCAGAATTCCAAAAACCCTTGTTACACGTTATATAGAAGGTTGTAATACATGTTTATTGAAAATCTATATTGTATATCGCATATGGAATTTGTAAGTGGGATTTTTTCTGTTTTTAATATATATATATGAAAATTTTTTTTTTATGAAAAAATTTTTTTTGCAATTTATATATTTTTGAAATATTCATAAGAAATATTTATTTATTGCAAAAAAAATGTCTTCGTATTTAAAGGCTTCTCGAAATGAAACAAAAGGCAAAGAGGCAATAAATAAGTTAACTAATGAATTTAAAACGAATGTTTCAATAACAACAACTTCAAATACATCAATCTTTAGGTACAACGATGACAACAACTTTAATAATAATAATAATAATAATAGTAGTAACAATAATAATATTTCTCAAAATATTTCTCAACAACAACAACAAAAAAGACAAGATTCACAAGATTTTAGTGAATTCAATTCTTATCTGATAGGAGGAGGAATATCGGGGGTAGATATTAATGCTTTAATTGAAAATGCGCTTTATCAGACTAAAGTTGATCCGGAAGTTGTTATTGCCGCTGCAAGATTATTTGTTTTAGCCAACCAAGCAAGAAATTATCACGGTTATTGTTTTGTTGAATCGAATCAAAATGTTGTTGAAGCTACAAATCGATCAAGTGCCATGTCTTTATCAAATTTACTTCTGCCGGACGAAGCTAGCCAATCTTCCAAAACCACGGTAATCTATTAAATATCATTATCATTATTAATAAATTATCAAAATAAATAAATGCTCAAATTATTATTTTTACACATTTATTTTTTAGTAAAATTTATAATAGTTCAATTTTCATTGTAAATGGGGGCACGCTTGCAACAAAACCAGACTAACAGTTGTGTTACAAATAATTTCAGGGATCAAAATTTAGTAATGTGATCACTATGGTTGGCCCGTTCTAAAGACTCCTGTTGCTGCGCCACGTGACCAAATTTCAAAAAATATATATCGAAATTTTGAATTACATAATCGACAATCATTTCTTGGATTGAAAATCTCGTAGCACATACTTTAAAATAAATGCTTTGTCATAAACTTTATTGTAAATATTCTTCAAACAAATGTTCAATCAAAAATTCAATTTCTTACCTAGTTTCCAAATATTTTTTTTTTGATTACTTGGAATGATTTTAATATGGACGTCATATTCTCCTAGCTAACAAGATATGTTCTTAGAGATGATAGATAGTCTTAATTGCCCAATTCAAGGATCCCAGAGTTTATGTTTTTACTGTTATGTAAGAAGGAGTATGCCATTGACATGCTATACCAAAGGTTGTTTGACTTTAGCGTGCAATTTTCGATATGACTAATGTGTCTTTTTGGGCTGTGTCATAGGTTGTTTGTCAATCCTCTTATCAGTATAATCACAAATATAGGGGAATGAAATCAAATACCAACAGTAAGGATATCACGTAAATCTGTAGATTTGCCCCTTAAATTTCCTTTTCTATATTATGATTTTTTTTGTATTTTTTTTTATTCATTTGCATTACATATTTTTTTTGGTATCAATTTACGAATTGTTATTATGGAATTACTATTAATCCATAATTCAAACATCACAAGTCTTAATTTTAAATGTAGAATCTTTTTAACGCCCACTCATGCTCGCATAACAAAATTATGGGATACTTGAGAAGATTGTGATATCAAATCTGAAATCTAAACCCATAAAATAGAAATTCCGATCCTAGATGGCAAAAGTAATAATAATAAACTCATTAAAATAAAGGATTTTATTTTTTTGCTTATTTAATTTGAAATAAAAAAAAAAAAAATTACAAAACAAAAAAATAATTTCATCTTTAATTAATCTCTTTTATTCCTTTGAAAGATAATTTAATTCACTTGACCCTCTTATTTTCTTTCTCCTTTAGTAGCCACACAATATGAACAAGAACTTTCCTTTCATATTATCATTTTATAATCTAGTTTGGTTTTCTATTTATTACCTTTTAAGAGCAAATAAATCTTTTTTTTGTATAAAAATTATAAATATTTTTATAAAATTAAAAAATTCGGTATGTATTGAAATCCTTCAAAATCAATGATCTTCCTTTGATCTTTTTGCTCAAGCCTTTTAATTAATGAAAAGTATCTTTAAGCAAAGCATCATCGTTTTATAAGTAGTTTATTAATCACTTGTATTATAACTAGTTTTTCTATTTGAAAATACAATGTTGCACATCATAAAAAAAGATCAGCGTTCAATTTTGTCACTATGTGATAAATGAATGTCCATGATGCTTACATTAGTTTTTATTATTATTAAAAAATTATCGTGAACACATTCTTAGCATTATATATCACCACCAATGAATGATATGTATATCTTTATTTAATATCTTTAGGTAATCCATATAATATAATATTAAATATTTGATTATAATCTACAATGTTAATTGGACGAGGAAAAGGAAAAACTAAAAGTTCTAATGTTGGAGGTAAAACATTAAGACAAAGAGAAGTGCTTCTAAATAGAATGATTCATCATTATCATTTAAAAAATAATCAATAACAATAAAAAAATAAATAAATTATTCAAAGGAAATATTAAAAATCTAAACAAGAAGGGCTTTACGTAGAATGGCACAAAAAGGTGGCGCGAAAAGAATTTCAGCAGGGTATCTACGATGAGGCAAGGTCAGCTCTTGAGGCTTTCCGTATCGTGTTCTTAGATAGGAATATAAAAAAAGAAAACAGAGTCATCTTTTTGCATTAAAACGTAAAAGGAAATCTTATATTTGATGTTAAATCTCATCATACCTTTTTCAAGAACGATTTTCATCCTTAATAAATTTGGGGAAATTTTATACTTAATGTTATAAATTAATATTGATGATTATTGATGATGCATATATATATATATGAAAAATTTACATAGACGTGACAAATCCAGGGCTGTTGGCGTAAAGGGGTAAACCCTAATTTAGTAACGAATGTATTGACTAAACATATTAGAGTTACGCACCCAACCCGGACAAATCTCTCGCCTTTATTTAAATAGTATACTAACATAATAATATTATAATTTAAAAACAACATTGATACTACAAATTAAAAAAAAATGATTTTGATGTCGTGATAAATGTTTATGAAAATATTTAAAAAATGAAATAATGAATATTAAAAAAAAAGTAAGAATAATAAATGTATGTTTGAATCAATGTGTAAATTAAAGGAAATAAATATCTGAAAATAATGGAGACAAAGAATCCAATCCTTTTTTTTTTTCAAATCAAGATTCAATCAAGGTTTAAAAATATAATGACTTGAGGAATTTAATATCACAATTGATTTTTCCTTGTACTTTTTTCCCATATGGGGCATTATCAATTGTAGTCAAGAATGGTTGTAAATGTTTGATCAACTATATAATTTCATTAAATTAATGAATTATTTATTAGATATGACAGAAGATAATAGAGAAACTATTAATTATATATAAGGAGTTTAATATTATACCTCAGCCTTCTGATCTAATCCAGCTTGGGACAAGGCAGTTTGAATCACATAGTTTCCAAATGAGTCTTGCAATAACCTGTCAATATGATGACAATTAATTATTTCTGAAATCAAAAGCTCTTTAATATCATTATCAGACAACTTAATACACTAATAATAATAGTAACAATAATAGTGATGATAATAATAATAAAAAATGACACGCATTATGAGTATTAATATTAATTAAAAGTTTTGGAATGTATATGTACATATGTGAATATTTTGTATGTGTTATATTTTCTTACCGCTTCAACAACATTTGAGCTGCATTGCTGAATTGATAACACGTAAACATGGCCTAATATTTTTCTTGACAATGCGTTCGTGAATTGTTGGTTATTAAAATTTATGGCATATTGAACAACGTAATTTCCATACTTATCCTAGAGTTTTGTGCGGAGAACATGTGTTATTTATGTTGGTACTATCTAACAAAATAACTTTGTTTAATCAATCCGATCAATAGTGACAAACCTGGCTTAGGGTTAAAGCATGATGAATTATTGTTCTTAAAAGCAAGATCCTTTGTTGTTTGGTTCCATTATCAATGCATCTTTGAAAAACACAACAACCATTTTTATGTGTGGCGACTTCAAGACAATTACTACTGACAGCATTATAAATAAACTATTTAAAGAGAAAATAAACTCCATCGATTAGTATCTGTCAATATATGCTGTTGTATATTTGTTTACTCACTTGATTTTCTTCAGGGGTGAAAAGTCTTAAGCATTTTTGAATAACATGGTTTCCGTTTAAGTCTTGAATTAAAGTTACTACATCAGAATTTAAAGATTGAATAAGAGTACAAATTTGCTGAGTCTTGTAGATATACTTAGCATAGTCCTAACGAATAGATGAATGGATTGTTTGGTTGTTTGATTGTTTAGCATTATAAATAAATAAAACATTAAAACTTACATGTTTATTTTCTGTGACAAGTTCTATTATTTTTTGAACTGCGCGAGTACCATGCACATTTAACGAAATATTGACTAAGTCAGAGGAAACTTTTTTTACAAGTGTAGTACGTTTATTTTCATCACAGTATTCAAAAAGTTTTTGACAGAGATAATTGCCAAATGTATCTAATCATCATCATCATCATCATCATCATAATCATTATTATTAGTAAAATAAATAAACCAAAGAAACTATAACGATTTAATATTTACCAGTTATAAGTTCAACAAAATGTTTATAAACTTCATTGAAGATCATATCAATATAACTTTGGTTATTTTCTTCAAGTTTTTTTTGCAAAAAACGACAACCATGTTGATCTTTACATAATGAATAAATCTGACCTGCAAAATCTTCTAAATCAACGCCAGAAAATCGAGTGTTGGCTACATATAAATGAACATAGGTATAAATATTAGTTTATGGATTATATAAGATTAAAAAGAGGAAGGAATGCTATAAATAACAATAAAGAATCAATCTTATAAAAGACACACGTGCCTTCATTATGATTAACATTTTTTTTCTTATTTTTAATATTATTTTGCAAAGCTGAGTTGTTATTATTTTTGTTGACATGATTACTTTGATTTAGTGAATTGGATGCAATGGCGTGATTAAATAAATTGGTTACATTAATATGTTTGATTGGATGATCAATATTGTTGAACGTGCGACGTTGAGGATATTTTTGAATATAAGGAATAATTTTGTTATTATTATTACAATTGATATGATTGACAGTATTAACAGTAGGTAAAGTTATATCGTTTATATTGGCTGGTGAATTAACAGAAGAACTAATATTATTATTATGATTATATGGACCATATAGATTGCTTGTAGCATTATTATTGCTATTGATACTAGAAGTATTATTTAAAAGCATTGAAGCATTATTGATCGACGGGCGGAATTGATTGTAAGAACATGGTTGTTGCGATAATGAAAAATGAGTAGAATAAGAGGTGTGACCAAGATTTCTACCATTAATTTTATTGATAGAGTTGTATGAGTCAAACTTGTGTAAATATTGGCAATGATCACCTTTTGCGCAATAACCTCTCTGGAAGTGTTTGCAAAGAGGAGATTTATCATTCAAATCTCTTGGATTGATTGAGTTGTTGTTTGATGACTGATTCGAATTAGAAGCACCTCCCAAATATTTGTCATTAGCAGAAACAGATCGATTGAAATTGTTTGATGTGCCATTTCCGAGTTGATGATCAAGTATAGTAATATCATTGCTGAATGGATCAAAAGTGACATTTGTGTTTGCAATATTGTTGCACTTGAATGGTTCAAATCTAGAAGTGAGAATCTCGGGAGTGACAATATTATTGATGTTATACGGTTGTGTAACGTTTGATCTGAAATCTTCATTAGTCTCTTCCTCATTTTTGGATGGATCTAAGACGATATTTTTTTTTGTAGTATTATCGCTTTTGAACGGATCAAACGTGGAAGTAAGATTATCCAAAGCTATATGAGAATCAGGACGATAAAATATGATATCGTCAATTATCTTTCTGTGTGTAACATTGGAACTGGGTCTGTTTGAAGAGCCAGGCGCAGCCCACATATCTGAAGAGCTTGAAATGTTGTTATTAGTATTGGTAGATGATAGGATAGAAGAAGGAGCATGAAGCGAGGACTTAAACTGTCTTTGGTCCGAAGAATAAGTAAATCCTGGTTGCTTAAGATTATTAAAATCATTATTATTATAAGTCGATGAAAAAATATCCTTGGTAAAGAGGCTATTTGCTGTCAATAAACTTGCTTTTGGAGAAATGGCAAAAAGACTAGTGCCTTCGGATTCCATTCTGTCAAACACAATTATCAATATATATACAAGATAAATGAAAGTCAAAAGTTAGTAAAGGGGTAAATATTCAAATATATAAGTTTTGACGCGAACATTAAGATTAATTTAGATATAAGCATTGATATGAATGTAAATTTAATGTAAAAATAGAGTATGAATTTAAACGTGACAAAAGGCAAAAAAACAAAATGATAATAATAAATAACAATAAAAATTGTAAATTACAAATTGCGTGGTTTTTTTTCTTAAAATTTAACTTACTCTTATTACACGAAAAAAAATATCAGTGAAAGACGATATAGATGATGATGATTTTTTTGTATATATTAATTATCGTTTGTTGTTGAATTTAAATTTGTTTGGAAAATTTTTTATTTTGATGACTGCGCACAAATATCGTGACTGGTTGATTTGTACCACAATTTTTAATTTAATTTTTCACATACTAAACACTTATTTCAGTAAACACAGTAAACATCATTTATATTATTTTTATAGGATCGAGATTTTTATTTAATAAAAACTTGATTGCTAAAAAATCGTCAAAATTTTAAATTGTAATATAAATATCTTTATAATGTATGCATGCATACATGCATTGTGTATATATGATTTTAAAAAAGATTGTTATGATGACTCATTTATTATCTTAAATGTTAAGATTCTTCTATATCCTAATAAAAAAATCTCGTTTAAATTTTTCCATATATATATTCAAAACTTTTATAAAGCTAATGCAATCAATAAAATAATTAATCATTCAATTTTGGAAATGCTTCATCATAAGCACGTTTTTAGTATTGGGAGGATCCATAGTGTCTCTTTTAAGAAAAATTTATTTCTTTATCTGAACCAAAATTTCATCAGAACATAAAGCTGAACCTGCCTAAAACTTTATTTTATGGTATGAATATGTTACTGCATTGTCTTCGCAATCTAGTAAATCAGTTCCACCAGCCTTTCTTCAAATTCAGCAGCTGTATAATTGACTCAGCTACTCGTGAACATTGTTTATGAGAAGGGCCCTTTACAACCAATATAGATATTCATGACCGTAGTATATCACAATTAATGATACGTTCATTACAGTAAATGAATCTAATACCAAGTCTGAAGCTCGACAATACAATGCGTGTTTTTCTTTTGATGCAACATCTATCGTATTGAAAAAAGTTTTTAATTGGTCAATTATCTAGATTAAATTAAAAAATATTGCTTACCAGCAATTATTATATGATCAGCAATACCAATACATTTGGGAAATTTAATAAACCAAAGTATTGATTTTCAAGAATTTCTATCCGAGATTATAACATTGACTGAAATTTGCAAATATCACCCAATCAAGGCAAATCAGAGGAAATAGTTTAGCTCGTAGTTACAATCTGCTGCATTCTTCAATAATAATTTCAATTGAGAGTCATTTACTCCTTTAGATGTTCGTCATCCCTATGATTTTGTACACAAAATAGCTATCTTTTTTAAATCAATTTACCTTTTCACATTATATCCAATCATCATCATCAGCTTCAGGTCAGGTTCTTGATAGAAATCACCTATATCCCTTCTTCCTGATTTGTAATAATGTAGACCTATTCTTCTTTCAGGACAAATTATTTTCATCTAAAATTGAGCAATCAGTCCAGATTACATTCATTGTCCCACAGTAACCATATAATCCATTTGTACAGATAAGTCGAATTGCCAAATCCTATTATGATGATCTCCTACCGTATAACCATTCAAATTTATCGGGTCATAAATACCAGATCTGTTAATCTGTCGTCCTTGAACAATTGCAAAAAAAAAAACAGATCCTAGCTCTGTTAATTGATCTATCATTATTTGTCAAAGAGTAACAGTGTATTTGGTGTTTGTCCTTGTCATGAAGGCTAAAAATTGATTACGTCAAATAGGCTAATGTAGATTCTAGAAATATATCCAATCTTAAGTTTAGGGGCTGGTGGTGGTTGTGATAGATAAATGCATCGCCAAGCCATAATGATGTACAAACATCATAGGCTGTTATTAAAATGAACTTGTTTTGATGATAATTCATATGGAAATGTGTAGAATGTAACTTCTCCTTGTCTTGGTAAATGTTTAGAATAAACACATTTTACACGGTCAATAGGTGTGACTTTTATCTTTCGCAAAGCTCCCAAACCTCCATAACAGTGACCATAAATGCTTAAATTGAATAACTCTTAGAAGTCAACCTTCACATAGTAATTGTGAATTTCTTTTCAACATTTTAATTTTTCTCCAAGAAATTTCAATGCTTCATTTGAATCATAAAGTCCCAACCAAAAACATTTGAAAAGATGTCATTAATCCATTTTTATTTAGAACCATTATAAATATAGTCATTAACAAGATTCGAAATTATTCCCATGTAACCAATTCGTTGAATCAGTCAGTTGTTTAGAGATAGAATATAATCAGTTCTCTCCAAACACAAACAGCCATCAATTCTTGAGATAAAATGACTATAATAGCAGTATTTCCACGTCTTAAATTATTTGCCTCTTTATAGTGGCATAGAGGCTTTTCAATTCGCCAATACGCATATGGTAACAAGCCAATTTCCTGATGAATGAAATACCAACATTCTTGTTAGCTCTGCATAAAGTTTGAAGGGTAAACATTGTATCATAGTATTGACTAGATCTCCGATAAATTTAAGAGAGGTTTCCAAATGGGTAGTGGTTCCATTCATTATGAATTTTTTTTGCGGCAGAAAATTTGGTTTTAGTGCAACAAAGAAATAAAAAGATCTTCAATAACGTGTATATAATTTCAAAAAATTTAATAAAATGGGAATTCCTTCGCTATTACAAAATTTAAGGTCAATTGAATCCTTTACTTCCATCTCAAAGTATGCAGGAACCACTGTAGGGATTGACGCTTATAGTTGGCTTCATAAAGGTGCATCTACTTGTGTTGCGTCTTTAGTCAGAAATAAAGAAACAAAAAGGTTGAAGTATCATATTTTTTTAATATTATTTTATTTTTCCCCCCATAATGAAAATCGTCTTTAGCAAGATACACACATTTTTTTACATTTAGGCACGTAGATTTTTGTTTAACGCGCGTTAAAATGCTGCAAAAGTTTAAGGTTCGACCGTTGTTGGTTTTTGATGGTGGCTATTTGCCTGCTAAAGAATTCACAGAAAAAAAACGCGAAATGTTTGAATAATTTTACAGTTTTTATTTATTTTACGGTTAATAATATCATTTAAAAATAATCAGCAATTAACGTTTTATTTGAATTGAAAATTAGGTTAAGACTGGAATATCGTAGATTAGGCGAAGAATGTATTAAGAAAGGCAAGGTTTTAGAGGCTAAAGAATATTTTTTAAGAAGTTTTGATATTACTCCAGAAATAGCACATCAACTAATCTTGGTATATTTTTATTATTTAGTATTAAAATAAATTTCTGTATGTGTGTAGTTTTTAAATTTCTAATATTATCTAAATATTTGAATTTAATCATTTATATTAGGCTTTACGAAATGCAAAAGTTGATTATGTGGTTGCTCCTTATGAGGCTGATGCACAGTTGGCATATCTAGAAAAAAAGAAGAAAATATCAGCTATTATTACAGAAGATTCTGATCTGCTTGTTTTTGGATGTAACAAAGTACGCATATAATTTTAAATTTATTAGAAAAATGTGTATTTTCTTTTTATATAGGTTCAGAGGTTTTTTTTTACTATTTTGTTGAATTCAAAATAAAAATTTCTACAAAGATCTATAAAATTTCAGGTTATTTACAAGTTGGATCAATATGGAAATGGTGTAGAAATCTCTCGAGATAGATTTGGAGATGTTGAAGAACTTAATTTGCTTGGATGGACTGATAAACAATTTCGACAAATGGCAATGTTGGCTGGTTGTGATTATTTGCCTTCAATTGCTGGAATGGGTATCAAAAGTGCTTATAAATACTTAAGGATGTACAAATCTGTGGAAAAGGTCTGTGTGTGTGTGTGTGTGTGTGTGATATAAGATAATAGTTTTAATTATTAATAAAATTGATCATCTATTAATTAATTAATTAATTAATATTATTTACAGGTAATAGATTTCTTGAAACTTGATGGCAAATCAGAAATTCCACCTGATTATATAAATAATTTCAAACGGGCAGAAACTGCATTTTTATATCAACGCGTGTTTGACATCGATTCCCAATCCTTGGTTACATTGAATCCTATCCCAGATCACTTGAAAAATGAAGTTGATGCAAAGTTTATTGGACCGTATCTTTTTTTTTTATTTTACAAGGATATATATATTTATATATTAATTTTTCAAATCAATAAATATCTTACATTACATTATTGTTTTAAAATTAGAGAGCTAAACGTTGAAGTGTCTATAGGTATTGCAAATGGCGAAATTAATCCAATCACAAAGGAATTGATTGATTCTACAAAGGTTATTTTTTATGAACCATCAATCAATTAATCAATCAATCAAATATACAATTTATCAATAAAATTTTTTTTTAAAAAATAAATTAAACATTATTAATAGCAAATCAATAATACAACAACTACAGACTTAATTGATAAAGTTGAAGGTGAAGAAGATAATATCAATAACAGCAATGCTAATATTATTACTACTATTACTAACAATGATCATAAGAAACCATTTGAGGCAGAATCTGATAATGTGAATACCAAAAAACATAAAAGAAATATTACAGATAAAAACATTTTCCCTAATAAAGAACACAAAAGGGTAATTAATTTTCAAGTCTTACAACTATTACTGTTACTGTTACTGTTATTGTTATTGAAGTATGATCATAAAGAGTTTAGTTAACAAGTTTTATAAATTTATTTAATAAAAAATTGATCAAAAGATGCCAATAGCAAGTCATAATAATCATCATAAGCGTCATGTTAAGCTTAGGTCTGACAATGACATGAATTTAATGTTGAATAGATTCGATTCAAGGACTAAGAAAAGTTTTTCATGTTTACAGATAAATGTAATTTTACAAAGGAAAAATTGGTTAAAATTATAATTCTCTATATTATTATAATAATATTTATTCTAATCATCAATATAGAATATTATAAATTCATCTAAAACATCAAGCTTGAATGAATGTTCACATTTAAATAATCGTTCAAGAAAGATGAAGTTGGATAGTGAAATGATTTTAACAAAGGTCTATTCAACAAATTCAGATGTACAACAAACCAAGGAACAAAAATGTTTATTATTATTTCAAGATAAACTAAAATCGCAAGATGGTAAAATTATTAACATTATTATTGTTGTTGTTATTGACATGTTTAAATTCCTAAATTAAAATTAAAATTTTCATTCTTCCTATATTTATTATGGAAAGAACATTTGAAACGAATAACGCAAGGATGGATTTCAAAATATTCTCGTAAAAATTTTTAATATTATTCATTTTTAAAAAATAAATGGTTATTATTATTAATTAAATATATAATAAATTATCGACTTTTACTCGAAGTGGTCGTTCCTTGGTGATTTTTTTGTACTTATCATTAATATTAAATCAATTCATCAGAATTAAAGAAGTTCGGCCAACAAATTTAATTCCGGTAACACTATGTGTTATTGATGAAGAGGTTAACACATTATTTTTTCATAATGAATTTGCTTTGATAAATAACAAAACTATATACTCTTCTGAAAAGAAAATCAAAACTATTATGTATTTTCTACAAATTAGTTGAATTTAAAATAAAAAAATTTTTTTTTGTCTCTTGAAATTGAATTCAAAATTAATACTAATACTAATACTAATACCAATACTAACACTGTTCAGAGCTTAGGCTAAAAACTACTTGGCAGTTCCTGGTATTCTAAATTTTGCATTTAAAATTCGTTATGCTAAAATTACTAAACACATTTCAATGTATGTTTTTTAAAAATTCATAGTAACGCGAATTTAATTATAATTCGTTGAAACTACTGTATAAAATTTCACAAAATATTTGTAGAGAATTAAATCGATCTTTATTATTATTGAATTGAACTAGAGTTCCTATTCGTAATACACATTCTTATTCGAATTATTCAGTAATAGTAACATCTGATGAATTAACGGTGAAAAAAAAGCGAACGCTGATAATTCGAATTATTCGTTTTGTTCCTTTTGTTTATTCGAATCATTTGTTTTATTCGTTTATCCGAATCGACCCGGACCATTCGTTTTATTCTCTAAGTTGAGCATACTCAGGTTAAAACTTGGATTTTCAAGTTCGAGCCGAGTTCAAGAAAATAGGATCTTAAATTGTTTTTAGGCAATAAATAAAATAAAAGTATTAAAATTAATCATTTGTTACTTAAAAAAAAAATTATGCAGCTTCAGACTCGAGCCTGGCTTGAGCTCGGCTCGTTCGGAGATTTATGTGTGAATAACCTTTTTATATTAGTAAACGTTTTTTTGTAAGGGTTCAAAGTTATCAATTTTATTATAAATAATGGAAATTTAGATAAACTTTAAAATGTAAAGGCTCAGTAACCAAACAAGCTGTATGAATAATTTTTCCGCAATTGTATTTACAAACACTCAATTAATAATAAAGTTCAAACCGCATATATGATCAACCGTTGTAACCCAACCCCAACAAATTTACATATTGACATATATAAAATGATCTAATTTTGAAGCCTTATAACTCAAAACTTTTCTAATAAAAAGAAAAAATAAACTGATGGAAACGATATTTATGTCTTTAGCTTTAATCCCATCAGTTTACTTTTTTCTTTTTCTTTTTTAATAAGCTTTTAAAGTCATGCGATAAACATTGACCATTATAGATGTCCTGCACTATAAGAGCATTCCCAATTGACGTAATGTTAATATGATTGTACCATAAATTTGTACATAAAATAAAAATTTATTTTTATTATCTAGAGTTTTGCATAAGGTGGTGTAGAAAGTTCCTTTACAGATAAACTACTTAAATCCTATTTTGCGCTGCAGGATGAATATTATTAGCAAATGATTGATCAACATCAACTTGGGGACCAACTCTACACGATCAGAAATTTTTTTAATAAGCTAGTAATACTACTTTTAATGTATTTGCGAATACAAAATCGCAGATAAGAGTCACCAGTTTAATTTAATTGTTTTTTGTTTTTTTTTTAGTTAAAAAATTAGCTAATATATGAAAAATGAGGTTCGTTATTTGTGAACATGTGTGATACTTACCATATATGGCGAAAGAAAACTGTCCTTGATATCTTTTCTTACGTAATACGTGTTTAATGAAATTTTTGTTCTCTCAATAATAATAATAAAAATGCCTGGTGATGAAGGAGCAAATAGTAATTTTTATTTTTAATAATAGTAATCACGAGCAAAAAATAAAAACATAGTTAACTAATACTCATTGTTTTTCATAATTACTTGTCTATGACATAGATGAATTACTTCAAATTGCGGCTAAACAAGATTCTTGTTTTGCTTTTCAAAATTCATTAAGAAGTCTTCCGAGAAAAGAATTCATTCGATTTTCCAATTTAACTTCTTCACAATCTATTCTCACCACTTCTCAACAATTACCAACGATTTCTAAATTAATTGAACATCACATGATGGTTTTCAGAAATTGTACGCATGAATTTATACCGATTTATGAAATTATTTCTGAGGATAACATTGAATTGGCAGGATTGACTGAATTCGAATTACAGTTATTGATGAAGATTTTTGATCAAAACGTAACCATTATAAAAGCCGAAAAAATAATAAAAGCTGGAAACGTATTGATAAATAAATTGTTAGTGTGGTATCAACAAGAAAAGTTCCCGTTAAGAAGAGCCAGGTTATTTATGAAAAAAAGGATTATTATCCCTTCGTTAAATATTTGAACCTTTTGACTTTTTATTTTCTTCTAATCTTTATATTATTTCTTTTCGTTTAATAAAAAAAAAAGAATCTTGATTGAAAAGTCTAAGATAGCTGGATATACTGAAACAAATGAAGTCCAATTTCGTTTAGAACTAATTCAAGATGCAATTAATTTATTAGGAGTTAAGGTATGTAGTTGATTTTCTGTGTTAAATAGTATACATACGCGTTTTAAATTCAATTAATAATAATCAACTATTCGTTTTCGTTTCAGTATTTAGCAGAGGATAGTAATCTTCAACATTTCCGTAATTATTACCTAGCTATTGCTCATTCTTGGGCTGGAATCCTCAAATTAATTTCTGGACAGTCGTTCACACAAGAATTTAAATTCGCATTAACATTATGGAAAGAAATACTAAATGAAATTGAAGACGCAAAGAAAAATATTGATGACACAGAGAGATTTTATGTCCATCTTCGTATCTTTTACTTTTATTACGTTTATGATTATAATTGAAAATAGCTTGAGACTTTATTATCATTAACTATAGACAAATTTTTAAAGAAATGTTGGCTGATTTTTTTGGAGTATCAAATCAACACATATATCACATCATGACATTAAAAATAATGTTGAGACTTAATAATGGTATAAGACGTAGTACCATTAAAACACATTCAGGTTACTTGTTGGAGTATTTATATATATATATATATATGAAATCATATACTTGATTGAATTTATATAATATTAAATAAACTTGAAATAATTATTATTATAGGTTCTGTGTACTTATTTGTCCGAATAGGGCAAATATACACGAATCTTGGGTACACCGGAAAGGCAGGCTGGGCATTTTCTCAAGCTGAGATTATTTTGGGTTCAGGTGTTTGCATAGATGAAGCCAAATTGACATGGATGTTAGGTTATAGTTATTATTTATGCATAATTGGCAATTTAAATGAAAGGTACATGTTCTCTAATAAAACAATGATAATAATGAATATATAAGCTAGAAGAAAAATTTCTTTTTAATATATTTTAATTTTATTTTAAATTATAATAATTTAGTTGCTTGATTTTTGATAATGCAAGATCCCTAGCTAAAAATCCTAAAAATCGAAAAATCGAGCAGTTGTTACTGGCAGATGCATTTTTGACACGATCATACATCTCAATATGTCTGGTAAATCTTTCAAAATTAAAAATTTTTTGCAACATATTTTTCTTAATATATTTATATATTTTGATAAAGGGTTTCTTGGAAGATGCAATCTTAAATTGTAAACAGGCTATTAGAATTCTTAATAGGATGATTAGGCATATCAATGCAATTAATGTCTTTCATGGCCAAAGTTCCTTTCAAGGAATATTATCACCATCACCATCTGCACAAAGCCGGAAATGGCGCCTATCTAAGGTTCTCCTAAATTGATATTTATTTACAAATTGTTTGATTTAATACAAATTATGATTATATATATGTATGTATATTTATATAGATATTAATTGAATGCTACCGTCATCTTGGGAGTTTGTATATTTTACGTGGATGTCCAAAGGAAGCTGATTGTTGCTTCAAAGAAGGAATGCTGTTGATTAAAGAAACAAAAGCCTGCACAGCTATGAGTTGTTTTTTATTAAACCTTGCTGAGCTGGAATATCACAGGCAATTTTGGAAAAAAAGCGAAGAAAACTTAAATGAGGCTATAGAGTATCAAAATAAAGTAGACAATAAATCACATTTATATGAAATTATAAATTTATCAGTGCAAAATTTTTAATTCTTTTTTTTTTTTTTTTTTTGTAAAAAAAAGGCGGAAATATATCCTAAAGAAGAAGTTTTAGCAAAATTGATTTTTGGTGATTTTAAATATCATGAAGGCAATTATAAATATCAAGAGGATGATTCCGACTATCAAATACATTGTTATAATCTGGCACTTGAATATTATAATGATGCAAGTCATATTTTGAAGAATATAATGGAGAAGGAATATATTTCCAATATAGAACCCTTTGACATAAGGTTTATTAGTCATATTTCTCTGATAATAATAATGATGATAATATTATTGTTTTTACAATTTATTAAATTACTTATTCTTATCCACATACTATATTATTTCTCCTATTACAAACATCCAGCAACAAAATTTTAATTTCTATGACACCAAAATCTAAAAATGATAGTGAAGGTATTTATTTTATTTGCCTTTATTATTATTTATGCGATTTTATTTATTTTATTTAAAATAGTTGATCCGTGATTTATAGGAACAGTCCAATATGAATGTTTTTCACTTGAATACTTAAAAGCAAGATTGTTTCGACATCAAGGTTGTTCGCTTTTCAGATTATTAAATAATTAACAAATATTTATTTTAGTAATTAATTTCTAATTAATTAATTATTTGTTCTAGGTTTATTGTTGAGTAAATATGGGGAGTTTGAAAAAGGCTTGAGATTGATAGAAAATGGAAGGTTTTTGAATCAACCTTGTCTAGAGAAGGCATGTTGCGTACATATTATGTATATAATCTGTTTTTAAATATAATCTTTATTTGATTATAAATTATTTTATTATTTATAAATAGGCAGAGTATCAGTATTTATTAGGCAAAGTTAAATTAATGGAAATCAATAATAAATTAAAGATTAATAACCAAATGATTTTTGATAATATACAAGATTCCGGTAATTTGTTTTTTTTATTAATTAATTAATTAATAAAATAGACTTTTAATTTCCCTTCTATATAAATGCATGCATGTATATATAGTACTCTCTTTACCATCATTTGGAAAAAATTCAAATAAAAAACAACATAATATCAATCAAAATTATTTTCCAGATAATTTTTTAGAGGAGATTAATAAAGCAATCGATTATTTGGTAAAAGTTTATGATCTAATATATGAATGCGGACCTACACAGTTGTTACAAGAAGCTTCCCTATGTATTGTTAAGGCAAATTTGTTAAATGCTTACTGCTATAACAAATTTTCTGATCAATTAGAAATTGCGACCAAATGTGCATATTATTTGGGTAATTAATTTCATTGATATTTTGTTTATATATATTTATTACTATTGGATATTCATTATCATCCAATTTTTCAAATATCACAGAAATGACTAAAGCACTTACTGTTAAAAGGGAGTTTATTACAATCTTGAATGAGAAAGCAATAAAATTACCTTTAAAATATAATGATAATGAAAGATGGCCTCAAGCAGTTTCAATGTCAAATAAATCCAATGAATTTCAATATAATAATAAGGATGAAAATAATAATAATTTACATGATAAGGAAACATCATATCAAAAATTTTTAAAAGATTTATTGAAGAGATACAAAGAAGAATCATCATTAACATATCATCAATTTCAAAGAGAATTTATAGACATTATACCTTCTCAATGGACTGTGTGTTCAATTACTGTCGATATTGAAAATAATGAGCTATATATTTGTCGCTTTTGTCAAAAAACATCACCATTATTGTTACGATTGCCTTTGAAACGACAATCTGGAGAATGTGGTGGATTTTTGTATAATGACGTGATTAGAAAATTTAATCAAATCATGGATTTATGTGATCAGAGCATGAAATTTGATAAAAAATGTATGAATAAACAAGAAAAGTCGCAGTGGTGGAATGAAAGAAAGGCATTGGATGATAGAATGAAAACCTTACTTGAAAATATTGAGGATTGTTGGTTAGGCGGCTTTAAGGTATTTTATATATATTTATTTTGTTTTTTTAATTAAAAATGAAAGAATATCTTGGATTTTAATATATATGTGTTATTAGGGCATATTAATGGCAGATACAGACAATGATCCTAAACGACTTGCTAATTTCAAAGAAAAGATGGATAAATTAGCACTAAAAAATGAAATATGTAGTCAAACTTTTGGTAAACAATCAACAAAAAAGAAAATTGATCTTCATGTAGAATTGTATAGATCTTTTCTTCGTTTAGGACCAAATGCAACAGATCGAGATATTCAAGATATTATTTATTTTCTGGTTGACGTATATAACAAAAATAATGATCAACAAATCGGATATGATGAGGTTGATTGGGATCAGGTTTGTTATTATCAAGCATAATATTTATATTTTAATGAAATGTATATTAATTTATGATTTGATAAATTAATAGCTTACTGTTGATATAATAAATGCACTAAGTGTTAATGTAAATTTTAATGATTCAAAATCTGATGATCAGCATGTTATTTTAATTTTGGACAAGTATGTTCAAATGTTGCCATGGGAAAGTTTTCCTTGTTTACGAAATCAATCAGTTTCTCGATTACCCTCAATTTCATTTTTAAGAGATCGAATTCTGTCAATGAAACGTCAAAATAATAATAATTCAAGTAACAATGAAAAATATTTTATTGATCCACAAAAAACGTTTTACATTCTTAATCCGAGTCAAGATTTAGAGAATACACAAAAAAAATTTGAAGATTTTGTTAAAAGGTTTATTTATACATAAATATTATATTTAAAAATAATAATAACATATTTATTTATTTTATGATGATATTGTTTTTAGTTTCGAAGGATGGAATGGTGTGATTTGTCGTCAACCATCTGAACAAGAATGTAAAAATGCGTTGAGTAACAATGATCTTTATATGTAAGCGAGGATTCTTTTTCATGGTGATTTAATATTAATACATTTTTTTAATAACTATTATTTTAATTGTAGTTACATTGGGCATGGGACTGGAGAACAATATATCAAAAGAAGTATTGTAAAACAAATAGATAATTGTGCTGTGGCTTTATTGATGGGTTGTAGTAGTGGTACTTTGAAATTAGAAGGCGAATTTGATCCTTTCGGATCATCACTTAATTATTTGATCGCAGGATGGTTAGTTATTACTATTATTCTTAATAGTTTTGTTTTTATCATTATCATATTGTTTTCTGATGTTAATGTATATAATATATAAATAATAGTCCTGCGTTGGTTGCGAACCTATGGGATGTGACTGATAAAGATATCGATAGGTTTAGTAAAGCTTTATTTCATGAATGGAATTTAAAACCAAATCATGAATTAGATAATGTAATTGGGAATGATACAAAAAAAATTGATGTATCGTTAGTTAAAGCTGTTTCAGTCGCAAGAAAAGAATGTAGATTAAAATTTTTGATCGGGGCAGCACCTGTAATTTACGGTGTACCTGTTTACTTAAAATGAACGTTAGTTTGAAAATAAACAACATATTTATTAAGATTTTGTATAAAAAAATTTTTTTTATTTACTAAAAGTCCCAGATATATATATATATATATATATAATATACATATACAAACTATATATAATAAAATTTTTAAAAGTTCAATAAATAATAAATATAATATTTTAATGAGATCATTAAACAATAAATAATATTGTTTAATTTTTTAATTTTTATTATTTTAACCATTCATGATTGCTAATTTCTTCCAAAGTAAAACGTTTATCAGGATCAGACACTAATATTTTTTTAATTAAATCTTTTGCCTCATTACTAATTGTACCTCTTCTACCACGTTCACCTTCCATGGAAGTTTTAGGAAAATCAAATTCTGCTTTGATAATTTTATGTAAAAATTGTTTTCTTGGCCCATCAAAATTAAATGGCAAATAACCAACCAATAAACTATATAATATAATGCCCAATGACCATATATCTGTTTTCTTACCATCATATGGTGATTTACCAGATATAAGTTCAGGCGCAGCATATTCTTCAGATCCACATCTTGTTGATAATAAAGGATTTGTTGGATCAACAAATTTAGCTAATCCGAAATCAGTTAACTTTATAATTGGATTGGATTTTAATAGATCTTTTTTGTTGGAATCTACATCCTTGTTGTTATTGTTATTGGTGTTATCATTAATATTATTACTACTATGACTGCTAGTATTGTTATTGTCATTATTATGGTTATTTTCATTAGGATAATCTAATAAAATATTTTCCAATTTTAGATCTCTATGAACAATGTTATTATCATGTAGATATTTCACAATGTCAATTAATTGTAAGAAAATTTGTTTTGAATCTTGTTCAGTTGTCTCTTCATAATAATCATTGACATAATCAAATAATTCTCCACCAGGAATATATTCTAATATTAAACAAAAGTGAGTTGAAATATCTACTACATCAAATAATCTTACAATGTTCGGATGATTAATGAACTACAAACGAGAAGTTATTATTAACTAATTAATTAATTAAAATAATTAATCTTTTGATTTTAAAATATATTAAATAAATCTAACCTTTAACATTTCAACTTCTCTTAAAACACTAGATTTTACTCTTTCACTATCTTGAATACCTTTCATCCCAATGATCTTTATAGCAACCTTTTGACAATTACTTAAATCAATTGCCAATTTAACTTTAGAAAAGCTACCTTCGCCAATTGTTTTTTGTATAGCGTAATGACCAATTAATTCGGTTGATTTTAAACCTAATTTTAATAATCTAGATTGCAAAAATCGATCATCCATAAGATGACTTTGTAAATCAACCGACGCCAAAACATTATTATCATTGTCATTGTCATAAATGTTATTGTCGTTGTTATTACTATTGATAGTAGTGTTTGCAGAGGTATTTGGATCATTGGTTAGACTTGGGGGACTTATTTTATGTAACGATAAATGATGGGAAGTTGGAAAATCCATTAAAGAAGTGGCAGGACTGGGTAAGTCTGTTAGTGGATCATCATTGGACGCTACTCTGCTATGTTGAGACTTTTTTGATAGAATTGAATCAGATGTTGAGGCTCTCGATATGTTTTGTTGATGTTTTTGATGTTGTTGATTATGATGGTGATGATGTTGATGATTCTGATTCTGATGATCAAAAATTGTTATGATTTTTGGCAGAACTTGTGATCCCATTTTCTTTTGATCACCGAATGATGAAGCTGACGACGACGACGACGACGATGATGATGATGAAAAAGAATCATTATGATCGTTTTTATCCATGATATCAAGATTCGCCGATGAATCGTTTGAAGTTATATTAGAAGACAACAGTGTTTGTTGTAGCGCATTCTCTGCATTTATGTCAATTGGAGTAGTTATTGCGGTATTATTATTATTGACTTTTGATGGTGCTGTTGTCATTGAGTCTAACTTTTGTACATTCAATTTTAAAGTTTCTAAATTTGTATAAATATGATCCTTTTTTGATTTAGTTGATGAGCTTTTGGCTATTTGCTCTATCATGACTTTGATGAATTTGATGAATAGTTAAAAAGAAAACTAAGGAATATCTTTTTATACATATACATATATATATATATATAGCAACAAAAACAACAAATTACAAATCAACAAAGTATAACATGATGACACAGAGATCAAAAAAAATTTAGCTGCTAGTTACACGAAGTGTCAGTATTTGAAATCGAGTACAGTGGGGGAAAAAAAAGTATTTGATTATATATAAAAATAATTTACTTTTTCTAAATCTGCATTCTACTCTTCCATTTCATCTTTTTTACCCTTCAAACTAATTTCGTTTCAATTTTGAATAAAAATATTTATTTATTTATTTATTTATTTCAATTTACTAAAATTTGAATCCCTGCAATTTTTTTTTTATGATGTAATGTTTTTCCCAGTCCAAATTTGGAAATCGATTCTAGAATAAATAATTAGAACCTCTTTGTTGATTAATTCATATATGAGACTCTAACAAAACCGGGGCAAAGTGAACATTGGTATTACCAAGAATTTCAGGGATTGAAATTGTTAAAAATCACAATCATGATATTAATATTAATATCAAAAGTTTCATAGTAATATATATCGTAATGTTTAATTGATTATAGATGCTGATCGCAACCCTTGCAATCAATCTTTGAGACCACTTTGTCTCCTATTTTTGTTTGTGACATGGATATTCAATAACATATCATTTGTAGCTAGAGATTTTTGTATTTTATGTTTTTTATTTGTAAAAAAGAATATTGTGAAAATAATACAAATTTAATTTAGCAAGTTAGATAAACAACTGTGCATGATTCTTTATTGATTGCTAAATTTTGTTCCCAAGTATGAACAAGCAAAAAAAAACAGTATCAGTATTGACATGATTATTTGACTTTAAAATTAAAAAAAAGTATTACATGGCTTTAACAAGAATCACACTAATTCAAATCAAAATCAACCTAAAAATATAAATGCACTTTGATAGTTACCTGATATCACCTTAAATCAATGCTGCATAAGGGATCTCAAGTACATATCGTTTAACCTTTGACATTACTAATCCATTAATCTTCTTCACCTTTCCATTTTGATCTAGGAATTTTTGCACTGGATAGTTACCAAACTTGTCTTCAGGAACAACAAAATAAAATCCAATATTTCGCTTGTCATCATCTAATTTCCTAATAGTTGCTTCTAATGCTGCCCATTTTATTGCATGATTTTTTGAAATTGTAATTTGGAAGATATAGTCCGATGGAAATATTGCATCATTGCTTGGAAAATTTGACGGTTGTAATGGTCTAGAGAAATATCTTGAATATTATGAATCCACTTGAGAGGTCTCTGTTGCAGAACTATTGACATTGGCAAGGATGTATTATTCTCCAAACTACATACAGTGAATGCTTCGCCGTTTTGGAGACATCTGTGTGCAACACCCTCAAATAATATACCTCTCATTGGTGATATTTGCCCTTACCTTCACTTGCTTGTAAAAATTCCTTCAGTTTCTGTTTTTCTTCTGTCATTATTTTGTTCATTATACTTTCTTCAACATAAACTGAAGCAAAAATGTAACTTGTTGATAAATAATTAAGTGTGCTAATGTGAATTATCCTATGACTTAAATGATATTCGTTTGGAGCGACTTGGCGTCGTACAAAGTCTCATGAGGCCTCCTTTTTGGATTGGAGAATTAAGCCAATGCACCCCATTTCTTTGACTATGTAAGAGAATCGATTTTTTTTTTGAAAATCAATCTTATTTTTGACAGAGTCCAAGATAAGGAAATGTGAGAGTTGTTGTTTGGTATGGTTTGGTTCTGAAGACGTGTTAATAACTAACCAGATATACTTTTTTTATTTATATAGATATAATGTGGTGCCTTAGTTTATAAAAATAAATAATGGAATCAAAACGCGGAGCAGAACTTGCTGGGTAATTATAAGATTCTTATCTATCATATTGTAAACTTGCTGAAATCATGATTCCTTTTTTGTTTTTTTCATTCTTTCCATATTCGATAATGATTTGATTTTGTCAATTGCTGTAATATATGTAACAATTATAATAACATATTCACTTATTTAATATACATCAGGTTCTCTGAGGTTTTATATGGGAAACAATATTGTTTTGATGATGATGTTGTCACAAGTGATGTTTTTTTAATTTTCTTTATCATCATCATTGTCAAGTTGATGTTGATGTTAATATTAATGATGTTAATGATGGTGGTGTAGATAATGATATCACATCATCATTCTAAAAAATATGTGTGAAAATATCTTAGAGATATATACAATTAATATAAAAAATTCAATCAATTACATCAAACAATGACATACCAAAAGAATCAAATTGTCATCATATAATTTTTTCTCGCAAGAAAGTCCAAATTTAATTTTTTTTCTTCTGGGTCCTAAAATGTTCTTGGGTGCCATATGCATTGTAAAAAATTCTAATGTTTTCTGGACTCTCAAAATAAATATATCCATAACTATAATTCACAACAATATAGATATTACTAAAAATAAATAATGCTTACTTATTTGCAAGTGTTTTTACTACTGTATATCTAATTATTCCAAAATGTTTGTCAAGAGATCATTCTTCGCCTTTGGTATAATTGCTATACTTGTGCATTAGTGTATTATTAGATGAACAACAAATTATTGTCTCTAGATAATTGTTATGGCTGTAGTTACATATTTTTTTAGAAAAAAATACCTCTAATTAAAGAAGTCAAACCAGCAAAAATACTTAATTAAAAAGCCAAAAAGACCAAGAAAAAATTTACTTCTAATAAAAGAAGTCTAAAAACATTTCTAATAAAGAAGCATCCAAATGAAAACAAAACTATTTTTAATTAAAAAAGCTAAAAATTCCTTTTAATAAAAAATGCTTCTAATTGAAAAAGCCACACACCAAAGTAAAATCGCTTTTAATAAATTTAAACATTTGCTTTTTTGCTTTTTTAGTAGATCAAATGATACACTACAACAAAAATCTCAGAAGACTATACTCACCTACCATAAGTATCCGACCACCCAAGTTAAAAGAAAAGAGTCCTTACTAAAAAAAAGTAACGTTTTCTTAAATAAAACCGTTTTTACTTTACTAAGTAGACTTGTACTTGATATCAAAATCTCTAAATTACAAAAGCTTCGAAAGGTTCGGTATGGTATTAATAGAAACATTTAGCAAATAGTCCAAAAAAGCAAATTTTCAATCGGAATCTTTACATATAATAAAGGTCAAATTTCTTCATTGTAATGTATATTATTTCATTAATAAAATGTGCTCAACGTAACAGATTACATATATCCACAATATGGTATTAGTTCGTGAAAAGGGTTTAAAAAAGTATCCGACCACCCCGTAATTTTATCATATAAAGCACTTAATAAAGTTGACAAAATGCAAATTTTAAGGCTTTACGTTTTGTTGTCTATACTTGATCAAACTTTCTCAAATTTTAATCATATATAATTCAAGGTATTTTAAGTGAACTTACTTAATGACATAATCCATGATTCAACAGAGTTTTGAAGGTTTTTACTAAGCTCAAAGTTTTCATAAAAATCATGGGATTTTTTGTCTAATCTAAAATTTTCATCCTAAATTCATTAATAATGCAAACTTGACGAGACTTTAAGTTTGTATGCAAAATTAACTTTTAAAAACGTGTTTACTTAATGCACCAGTCCCTGTTTGATTAATAAAATTTTGAACTGCATAAGGCGTAACATGATCATCAGGTGGTCGGATATTTATTAATTCCAAGATAAAAAAATATGTTTTACTTTTTTAGCATAATTAACACAAAACAACAATTCTCTTTAGTCATTTTTTTTAGAAATAACAATAATCTCTTTTATTTATTTGTTTCTGTTTTAGTTGATCAATAAATCTTGGGTCTCAAGATAATTTATCTTATTCATTTTTAGTATGTAATTTAAATCTAATGTAATTATTTTTCATGGAACCAGTTGAGGATTTTTCTTTTTTCTTTTATATCAATTCTGCTTTTCTGTCCACTTTGCTTGTCACAGGACTAATTTTATGATCTCTTCAATTTTAAAATAAATGAAAACCTACTAAAATTATATATATATAGGGTTATAGGTATATGAAAAGTAATAATGAATACAATGGTTCTAATGAATATCAAAAAGCAATTGATTTTTTAGAAAAATGTTGTAAATGTGGTTGCTCTTCAATAATTCCCAAGGAAGAATTTGCAGAATTACATGAGTCCTTTCAAGCTCATTCTAAATCGGAACAAGACATATTTTTAATGGCACAGATTAAAACAATGGATGGAGGAACAGTAAATACCAGCAGACACCTTAAAAAGAAAACTAGATCTAATAAAAGAACTTTCTATCACTGAGATCACAATACACTACTTTGTCAAGAAACTCATCTCAATATGCTAGGAATTGGCAGAACTTACTTTGAAAATATCAGAAATCACCTGATAAACAATGGACTTCTACCAAGAGTTCATGGCAATGTAAAGAAGATACCTCAATGGAAAACTAAAATGGTGATTTATAAGAATGTTGCTGAAGTAGTAAAGAATTTTCTGGGAAATTATGCTGAAGTCCATGGATTACCAAGTCCAGGAAGAAGTAACAATAGGATAACCCAATCAGTTATGTTCATACCAGCTGAAATGAGTTATAAATCTGTGCACAGAGATTTTCTAGCTGGTCTAGAAGAAGAAGATAGCAAATTGAAATCCTTAAAATATGAGGCTTTTAGAAAATTATGACATCAATTGACATCAGAAATTCAAATTATGAGTCCAAGGACTGATTTGTGTGATACTTGTCAACATTTTAGAGATGGTTTACTGCCAAGAGGAAGAAGCTAAAGATTTGCCCAAAAGATTTAAAGAACATCTGTCCAAGGCCAAATTAGAAAGAAGTTATTACAATAAAAATACTAATTAGCTGAAGAACAAAGAAAATTAGTTAATCAAAATTGTTCAAAGGGTAAAACACAATATTGTAGTGTTGATGCTACTGTTCATTATAGTTATGATTGAGCCCAAAATGTTCATGTGCCCCATTCTGATCAACAAGTAAGTAAAATTTATTACCTTAGTTCATGTAAAGTTCATTTATTTGGTATTCAAGATGAGGCAGTAAGTGAGCAAACTAATTATGTTCTTAATGAAGATGAAATTATAGGAAAAGGACCCAATGGAGAAACTCTTAGTATGATTTTTGATGGAATTAAGAAATTGAATAAAGGTGAAAAGCATTTAAAGACTACTTGTGATAATGCTGGGGGACAAAATAAAAATAATGTAACTGTTTGGTTTTATTTATATTTGGTAATTTGTGGTTATTACAAAAGCATTGAATTAAATTTCATGGTTCCTGGACATACCAAATTCAAATGTGATGGTAGTTTTGGTTTAATAAAAAAACTCTATAGAAAAACAAGAGTAGATTGTCTAGACCATGTAGTTGAAGTGGTAAAAAAGTCCAGTCCAGCAGGATTAAATAAAGCCCAATGTTATGAAGGTGGAAAAGGCTTTCAATACTTGGATATTAAAGCAATTTTGGGAATTTATTACCAAGCATCCAGAAATATCAACATTTTCTTTTTGAAGCATCTAATTTTGGTATAGTGAAAGTTCAAGAAGTTG